GGAGTTTGGGTGAGTGGGAGCCCAAGAATGTTTACTTAGCTGCCTTTCTTTATTCACTGTAAATATTTCAGTTAAAAGAGTGTCGGGGGCTTCTGGGTAGCTCAGTCAGCTGAGCATCTCTTTTGGCTCAGGTCATGATCCCAGGGTCCTGGATTGAGCCCTGCATGGGGTCCCTTAGCAGGGAGCCTGCTTCTCCCTTTCCTGCTCCCCCTGCTTGTTCCCTTGCTCTCTCGCTCTCTCTGTCAAATAAATAAATAAAACCTTATATAAAAAATGCCATATGAGAGCAGGTGGTTGGATCTTTCTGTTTAAAAAAAGAAAGCAGTTTTGCTTTCATCACTCATCCCATCGGTGGCTGCCTAATCTCACTTGCTGGTGTCATGCAAGAAATGGATGCTTTTAGATACCAAGCTCTTACACATGTTGACTGTGTTCATCTTTTGATCCTTCACCTCTCTGCTCCTTTGTGATGTCAAAACACCTCAAAGCTTTGACTCAAATGGTGTCAAAACATAAAGACACAGTGTTGAATCCACTCATGAAGCCTCAAAACCAGTTATTCTACCCTTGCCATGTGTCCGCCATTCGCAACAGAGTAGTGAATCACGGGGCAGGGAAGTGAATCACAGCCACACCAAGAATTCCCCCTTTCTACTCTACCAGCTGTTTCTGAAGAATTGTAGAGATCTGAGCTCAAAGTGTACCCAGAAAATATTGAAATGGACTTTTTCTCACATACAACGTGTCAGAACTACACAATCAACCACCTTGACAGTCATCTGTTCATTTACAAAAAGAGTAAGCATGTCACTAAAATTTATTTCCAACAGCTACAGAACAGTTCATTAATTTTATTATAGTCAGAACCCATGTTACACATGTGGTCCTTTTTCCCTATTTCCTCTTCCCTCTCTTCTCCCTTTGTTGCATTAAATTGATCCTGTCTCCCTTTTAACCGCCTTGTCCTCGTTCCCCTCCTATGGATCCCTAAAGGGGTTGCCCCAGGACTGTATAATAATCCAAGAAAATTCCTGGGATTCCATATGTAGGGGGTGGTCAGGAAAGATTACACAGAGACCCTGGAAAGACAGAGTGGTTCCTGTAAATCCATTCATATGGTCCAAGTGAGTGAGGGAATTGGCTGACAAACGTTAATGTAAAATGCTAAAATCCAAATCTCCACAAAACAGCCAAATTTGTAAAAGAATTTTCTTCTTCTCAACAATTTGTTCACTCCATATTTGTCCTTCCAATATTTCCACCAGTCATGATTCCATTTTTCCATTGTTGTCTCCTGAACTTGGGCAAACCTGGTCACCTAACACATCCAATAAACTGAAGTTCGTTCACTGGCCCATCTTTGTATTTGCTGAAGGTAACCAAGATTAGAGAAGAAATTCACTAACACTAGGAAACAAACTAAAAAGATATGCCACTAATTAGAGTGAAAGCTAAGCAAAACACACGTGCACACACAAACACACACACATAAGAGGCCTTCTACTTGTCGGATTCAACAATTTCGGACGTCAGACGCAGGGATGCAACTGTCCTGTTGGAGGGCCCCTCTCCTCTTTAGTGCTGCTATCTATGCCCCCGTTTTAGATGTTGCCTGGTACCAATGTGGGCTTTTACAGAATTTCAAATAATATGCATATATGTAAATAACATTCTGTAAATACAAAAATCAACACTGCTTTTTTTCTAACAGCTCACTCTTCCCAAGAAGTGTTCCTATAACAAATAAATGGACAATTTTTTGCTTCCCTCTCACCCTAAATTGTGGCCTATTATCCTGTGGGACGGTAATCAGTGGCCAAGCCAGCAGGGACATTGGAATATCGGCAGTGAAACCCGTCACCACAGCACCTGCAGTCTATTGCATCACTACTGTGGGACGAGGGCACGTGGATTTTTAAAGGTATTTTTTAAAAGCCTTTGGACACAGACAGACCCTGACTTGCACAGACCCTGATTGGGTCTGTAGAACAACATAGCCAGGCCGGCCTGCGCCGCAGCTTCTTCACTTTAATGTGAGGCTCCCAAACGGGCCTTTGTTGGGAAGGAGGTAGCATGTATCACTCAGTACTTTCTAAAGGCAACAAAAGAGTACTCGCCAAATTGTGCTTAGGAATAAGCCAATTTAATCACCTATTAAATCACACATCAACCTTTATACCACAGCTTTCAAGTAGCATCCAGATAAAACTGCAGAGTGGTTCTGGTGTGAACTGGCTCACTTCTTTCACAGCACTCCTAGCCAAGGCCACCATCCTCCTTTTGCCAGTCCATTCTCTTTTATTGCCAAGTTCTGGGTAACTCTCCATTTGTTCACCAAATATTTGCTGAATACATACTAGGCATCGACAGTGTTCTGGGCTTAGGGATAAAAAGAAGCACCAATAAACATGGAACTCACTGGGGCACAATCAGTTAACATCCAACTCTTGGTTTTGGCTCAGGTCATGATCTCAGGGTCTTAAGATAAGACCCTGCTTCTGTAGCTCCATGCTCAGCACAGAGCCTGCTTGAGTTTCTCTCTCCCTCCTCCTCCACCCCTCCGCACCATGCTCTTTCTCTAAAATAAATAAGTATATTTTTAAGATATTATTTATTTATTCATGAGAGACACACAGAGAGAGGCAGAGACACAGGCAGAGGGAGAAACAGGATGCGGAACTCGATCCCAGGACCCCAGGATCACAATCTGAGCCAAAGGCAGATGCTTAACCACTGAGCCACCCAGGTGCCCCAATAAATAAATCTTTTTTAAAAAATCTCATTCATTTGGGGAATATAAATAATAGTGAAAGGGAATAGAGGGGAAGGGAGAAGAAATGGGTAGGAAATATCAGAAAGGGAGACAGAACATGGAAGACTCCTAACTCTGGGAAACAAACTAGGGGAGGTGGAAGGGGAGGAGGGCGGGGGGTGGGGGTGACTGGGTGATGGGCGCTGAGGGGGGCACTTGACGGGATGAGCACTGGGTGTTATTCTGTATGTTGGCAAATTGAACACCAATAAAAATAAATTTATTATTAAAAAAAATCATGGAACTTGAATTCTACTGGGTGACACACAGAATAACCAACAAACATAATATATAAGTATCTCACATAGTATATGAGGATGTAAAACATGTTATGGAGAAAATGCATCAGGGTGAAGGAGGCCCAGGACGATGGGCAGGGTCTGGAATTTAAACAGAGGTCAGGGATGCTTCACTGAGAAGGTGACATCTGAGCAAAGATGGAAGGCAGTGAGCAAAGAAGACACAGCATTACTTGAGGGGAGGGCAGTTCAGGCAGAGGGAATACACAGGGCTGAGGCTAGAGGCAGGGTGTGTTCTTGATGCGATCAAGGAAGAGGAGGGAGAGCAGCCTGGGAGGAGAAGGAAAGCCAGGGAAGAGGAAGAGGGACGGGCAGGAAAGTCATGGTGGTTCCCAGATCTGGGAGGACCTAGTAAGGACTTCAGCTCTTATTCCAAAATGACGCGGAGAGCCATTGTAAGGTTTGAGGAGAGGAGGGACTGATCTGGCTGGAGTGTCACACAGATCATTCTGGCTGCTGCCCTGCAACAGACTGCAGAGATGAGAGGCTAGTCAGAGACTGAGGCCATCATGGGAGTGATGGTGGTGGGGGCCAGGTGGTCGCAGTGGGCATGGTGAGAAGGCATCGAACTCTAGACACATTCTGAAGGGAGAGTCAGCACCAGTCCCTATGAGCTGTGAGGGAAAGGAGGCTGACTCCGGGGTAGTGGCCTGAACAAGTGAAGGATGGAGCAGCAGGGGTGTGGGTGAGATCGGGAGTGCACATCTGGATATATTGAGTTGGGAGACATATTAGATACCCAAGTAGGGAAGCTGAAGAAGCAAATGCATATCAGCCTATAGCCCAAAGGAAAGATCCAGGCTGGAGACATAAACTTGATTTGGGTCACATCTAAACCCATGAGACTGGCTGAGATCACCCGAAGTGAGTGAAGATGGAAAAGGCAAGAGGCCCAAAGTCAAAACCCCGGGTTCTGCAGAGGCTGGGAGTAGGGGAGGTACCAGCAAAGGACACTGAGAGAAATGGGCCAGTGAGATAAGAGGAAACAAAGGAGCATCCTGGAAGCCAAGGGAAGAAAGCTGCTTCCAGAAGAGAGTGATCAGCTATGTTGAGTGTCACTAATAGATCATATAAAATGAAGACTAAAACGGGCCATTAGACATCATAATTTGAAGATCTTTGGTAACCTTGACATGAGAATTTTGGGGAGGGGTACATAAATTTGATTGGAAAGGACTTAAGAGAATAAAAAGAGAGGAACTGGATATAATAGGTGTAGACAATTTTAGAACTGTGCCGTGAAAAGTGGCAGTTGGAAGAGCTTGGGAGAGAGAGCTACTGGCAGATGTGGGGTCAAGGAAGTTTTTTTTATACCATTAATACAAGAGAAATATGAATATGTTTGTATGGTGAGAGCAACGATTCAATAGAGAGGAGGAAACTGATGATATAGGAGAGAGTATGTTTGCCAAGCAGCATTAAGAGTCCATTTAGGATTTATATTCATAAATTTAAAATGAGAAGAGTCAGCATGGTTATTTTTCTCCAGTCACATTCAGCTGCATGGGTTCAAGCACTGAGTAGGTGGAAAGCTGGATTTTACCAAAGTTGTGGCTTAGCCAAGAAAGTTCAACAAAGTGAGATCTGTAAGGGGACAGGCAAGGGAACGATTTTAATGAGATATAAGGTATTGGTAAGGAGGGAGGGGAAGGCAACAGGGAAGCACACAAGATAAGAGTATAAGTCCCAGTGGAGTTGAAGGATTGCTGGAGATAGTGTTATGGGCTAAATTTGTGTCCTCTCAAAAATCTATATGTTGAAGTCCCCAGTACCTCCAAATATGACCTTACTTGGTAACAGAGTCAGTGCAGAAGTCATTACTTGCATTAAGATGAAGCCATATTGGAATATGGTGGCTCCTAAATCCAATATAACCAATGTCTTTATAGAAATGGGAGATTTGGACAAGACCACACACAGAGGGAGGACGCCATGTGAAGACGAAGGCAGAGATTGGAGTGATGTATCTACAAGCCAAGGAATACCAGAGATGGCCAGCAAACCACCCGAAGACAGGGGAGAGGCATGGAACAGATTCTCCCTCATAGCCCTCAAGAGGAATCAACCTACCCACACCTTGATCTTGGACTTCTAACCTCCAGAACTGTGTGAGAATAAATGCCTGTTGCTTAAGCCCCCCAGTCTATGGTACTTTGTTACACAGCCCTAGAAAGAGTGCTTGTGGGAGTGCACCGGGGTAGGGGGTAGGGACGAGTCAGAGAGTAGGACCCATATGTCACAATCACAGATGGCATACACAAGGGTTAATGACAGGGTCTGGTATGACCTTGGGAGTGACAGAAAGTGACAGACCAGACTATGAGAAGAGAGGTAGACAGGGAACTGAGAGACCAGCGGAATGGAGGGACTATCTATCTATAGATTGAAATTGCCAAGAACAGAGACTGGAATTGGACCACGACGGTGAGGCCAGAGCACCAAGGAACCAGCTAGACATGACAGATGTCAATGAAGTGAGAGGACCAAGTGGCATGACCTGACTACCTGAGTTTCAATACAAGACAGCTTTAGGGAGGAAAGAGACTAATGCAGAAGTGACAAGGAGGAGCAAAAAGGAATTGCATCCCACCTCCAGGTCTACTAGCACAAAACCGTGAGGGAGAAAACCACAGCCACCACGTGACAGGGCTGCAGGAGAAGAGGAAGACGGTGTTCTCAGTGAGGAGCTGGGTTTTCATTAGAGCAAGATGGTGATGAGCATTCAAGGGCGAGGCTAGGGATATTGAGTTTTGCTAGCAAAGGACTGGCAGGGCTGAGACAGGGGAAGAAATGTCCCTCCTCCATGCTCTTGAGCAATGCTGATCCGGATTGGACTAATTACCTTCTTTGCTCAAAACCGATATATGAATAGCAATAAATATTCAGTCTCCAGCTGCAGTTACTCACTTTATCTTAGAGGACTCATCAAATCTCCATTTTCTGGCTCTAGCTAGTTCTGTTCCACATTACTACACAGTTCAAAGCGGTAATGAAGCGTGGCTTTTTTCTGGGACCCACAGAAATCATGGCTGCTGCACGAATTTCTATTCCTTCTAGAAAGGCATTCTTTGCTGCAAGGAGATGGGAGATAGCAAGGGAAAAGAACCCAAATTCCCAGCTGAGCATCTCCTAAGAGGCTCCCACCATTTTTTCAACATATGGCATCATCCTGGTATCCTCTACTGTTTGGTTACCTTGAGGGTCTCCCCCGCACACCTGCCCTTTCCCCTTCCAGCCCAGAGGGGATTGATTTCATGCTCATTTAGGGTGGGCCATGGAAGTGCAGTCTTCATTCCTAACAGTACACTGACAATACAGCAAAGGCTGATAGTTGCATCCTTGTGGGTCATTCATTTATTCATTCAACAAATATGTAGACCGTGGCAAAAACTCGTTAAATATATAGCAAATAAACAAACTGATAGGTAACAGAGGATCCAGTAGTGAAAAGTAATATGAAGAAAAATAAAGCAGAGTAAGAGGAAAGAAAATGCACACAGGGAATGCCATGGTTAGTACCAGTTTTCCTCTCTTCGTGTCTACAAGGTAAACCCCTAGTACGCTGCAATCGATTTCAAGCGGTTTCAAAGGATTGCATGCAACCGGCCTGCTGTTCTGCTCTGGACATTATGAGGCTGCAAAAGGTCACCACAAGTGTAGTACCTTCAACTTTGCTGATTTAGAAATCCAACGTTGTCAGTTCACCCAGGAGGAAAGACTCTGGGGAGCTGACTCCCGTTAACCATACAATGGGAAATACTTTTTAAACCAGAATGTTTATTTCTTGACCTATAATAGGAGCCATATCTGACCAGATAGCCAGGCTCTGCTCCCTGCTCAGCCATGTCATTCTGGCAGAGAAGTCCTCTTGGAAAAAAAAAAATAATGTACCTTATTTAAATGTTTGGCTATCATGACAATCCTTAAGGACCCTCCTGCATGGATCCAGGCCTGGAGGTCCGTACTTGATGAGCAGGCTGTGACTTTTGTGATTAGAGACTCCCTCGTGGTGGATCAGGTTCATGAGAGCCACTCAGCTTGACAAGGAGAAGCTAGCCTGGATTTCAAACCCCACGATTTATAGGGTTGGTGTTCTTATGCAGTAAACAACCTGGACAACTGTATATAGCAGACCCAATGGAAGCAGAGAATTAAAACAGAAGTAATTGGGTGTAAAAAGGAATATTTCCTAAAAAGGATGTGGTACATGACAACAAGAAGGGTGAGTGTCATGTAACAAGTCCTTTTACACCTTCTAGTCTATTCCAAACATAAAAAATAAATCAGATTTGCTTTGTTAATCCACTTATAAAGTAGTTGATACAACCCTGAACAAGTCTTTTTTCTTCTTCTTTTTTTTAACATTCAACTTTGGTGCAAAATATTTTAAAGTCATTCTGAAAAATGTTCACATTTCCCGACCCTGTCTTCCTCCAAGAATAAGTCAGAGCCACTTGACTGATGTGGGAGAGGCTGGAATCCCAGAAAGAAGGAGGTTAGACAATCAGAGTTTTTGCCCATCGAAAATAGCTGAAATGGTCAGTTCAGCAGAAGAGAATTATGCCCCCCAGCCCCACCCCCCAGAGGAGAGGATAGCAGACAGGCTTGCAAAGGCTGCCCCGAGCCTCCCCCTGCCCTACAGGCCTGATTCGCTCCCTCACTGGGCCACCCAGCAAGGCTGAGCCCAAGGCCACATTTTTCTTTTCTTCTTATCTGTTTTTCCTTCTCCCAGGCTGGGCTTGAAGGACAATTTCTTAATCAGAAGAAATCAATTCTAAGACACTAATAATTGAACACACTGATCAGATCTGCCCCAAACATTTGTGGGACGTGAGGCAAGAATACGATGAAGGCCCAGAAACCAGATGTCTACATATTTAGAAGTTATAAATCAAAGCTAAAGAGCTTCTGAATGAAACATGTTCTGTTCTCCTACCTCATAAATGTGCCTTAAAAAAGCACCTGGAGGGGATCCCTGGGTGGCTCGGCGGTTTAGCACTGCCTTCGGCCCAGGGCATGATCCTGGAGACCCTGGATCGAGTCCCATGTAGGGCTCCCTGCATGGAGCCTGCTTCTCCCTCTGCCTGTGTCTCTGCCTCGCTCTCTCTGTCTCTCATTTAAAAAAAAAAAAAAAAAGGCACCTGGAACACCAGGTGTAAGAATGCAGGGCTACAGTGGGAGAGACTGACCCCAAGTCTACACTCCAGCTCCCCTACAGCCTGGCTTCCAAGTGGGGCTTCCTCCAGCCACTAGTAGACACCGCAGTTCCCAACAGTGGCGCTTCATCGCCATCCCCACAAACGGCTGCCCCCAGCCTCTGCTGAGGCCTAAGGCTGTCTACAGTAGCGTAAAAGCCTGTGCCAAACCTGGCCAGCTCAGGGCCATTTGAGCAGAATCTTCCAGGGGCCCAGTACCCTGATGATCATCTAAATGCTCAGTCCCAGGTTATAGGTTGGTATATCCCCTTGAGCCCACAGACCCCATCGCATGGGGAGGGACGTGACCAGAGCAGGTCCTCCACCCAACTGAGGCCAAATTAGATCCTCTGGCCTGGATCGAAGGATGGTATTGTCACTGAATGTTTAATTTTTATCTTAAGCACTTCAATTCATCTAATCTTGTCAAAATGTGGTCCAGAAGAAGCCTGTTAAAATATAAAGTCCTGGGGCAACTGGGTGGCTCAGTCAGTTAAGTGCCTGACACTGTTTCGGCTCAGGTCTTGGTCTCAGGGTCATGAGATCAAGCTTGCCCCACATGGGGCTCCAAGCTCAGCACAGAATCTGCTTGCCCCTCCCCCTTTGCTACTCCCCCTGCTCACGCTCTCTCTCTCAATAAATAAATATTTTAAAATTTATATATATAAATTTATAATAATATAAAAATTCTTTAATCCCAATCCAGACCTATAATCAGATTATCTAGCTGGAGTTTCCAAACAGCTAGAGGTTAGAGCAAAGGAATCTGCCTTTCATGCTGAGTCATCAACTCTATCCCCCAAAAGCTGGGCCCCTGAATGAACTGATAAACTGCCCTCCCTTCTAGAGACATTGCGATCTCAATAACCTCGCTGGCCCTCCAGAAGCTGAGGCCAGACTCTTCAGCATGGTGTTAGATAAACATTGCTGCGTACATGGTACTCTCTAATTCCAGGAAACCATTACTTAATTCCTGGCAAGTTGCAATGTAATTTGAGTAGGTTGCAGCTTCTTCATACCAGTTGCAGTTAGCCAACTTCCTGGGAACATCATGGTCTCTTGATGAAGATCCTGGAAATAGGCATGGTTTCCCAATTGTAGTGTGGCAATTTTTATTATTATTATTAAGCTATGTACTTTTAAATTCCTGTTACCCTTTCTTTCACCTACTATTCAGCAGCCAGTGGGCACTTTCTGTACATGCCACCCTCAGAGTAGGAAAATCCAGGCAGAGTACGAACCATGGGTTAGGAGCTAAATCTATAGCAGAGACTATGTTCTGCAGGCCATGGCTTTCTATTGTAAGTGGCAGGTGTTCAAGAGAATAGAAGGTTTCTTTTTTTTTTTCTTTAAAAAAAAAAGGCTTAACTTTATTTTTCTTTAAAGATTTTATTTATTTATTCATGAGAGACACAGAGAGAGAGGAAGAGACAGAGGCAGAAGGAGAAACAGGCTCCCCATGGGAAGCCCAATGTGGAACTTGATCCAAGATTCTGGGATCATGACCTGAGCTAAAGGCAGATGCTCAACCACTGAGTCACCCAGGCATCCCAAACCTGAACTCTAAATATCAAGATCCAAACACCGAGGATTCAGAGAACCTTATGCCATGGACCATTGATGGGAGAAGAATGTAAATTAGATTAAACGTAGATAGAAATTTAACAAATGGGGAGATATGTGCCTATATCACAGAAGATATAACTGGAATTCAGACACTGGTAAGGCCCTGAGAGTGTCCCTACTTCTCCATCCCCAACATGCAAGCTCTAAAGGGAACGTGAGGAATAGCAAGTTAGACAAGCAGATAGAAACCCGAGATAAGTTCATGGAGGACTCTAAAGGAGAAAGGCCAGAGCCTGGCATCCTAGTGAGATGCAAGCCTCCCAGAGGAACCAACATGGCATGTGAATGATAGATGAACAATGGTGGAAGCAC